AGTAGGAGTAGGAGTAGGAGTAGTAGTATCAGTAGTAGTAGTCGTAGTGTTGTTATTCGTAGTAATCGTAGTAGTAGTAGTAGTAGTAGTAGTAGTAGTAGTAGTAGTAGTAGTAGTAGTAGTGGTAGTAGTAGTAGTAGTAGTAGTAGTAGTAGTGGTAGTAGTAGTAGTAGTAGTAGTAGTAGTACCGGTGGTGGTGGTAATACAAGTAGTAGTAGTAGTAGTAGTAGTAGTAGTAGCAATAGTAGCAGTAGAAATTGTATTTTTCCTCCTCCTCGTCCGTTCCCCTCCTCTTCCTCCAATCTTTGGTTATAAATACGTTTTCCCTGCCGCACTCCGAGGTTACTGTTTAAAGCGGGCCTGGCGGTTCGCCCGATAATTCCGCACCACGTATAACCCTGAAATTGAAAAACGGCAACCGTTTCATATATGGGGGGGCGGGTCGATGTCAGAATATATGCTTCGCCGTAGCGCCGCGCGCATTCATTTAGAAATGTGCAAGAACTTCGCGTTTTGAGGGCGACCCATTTTCAAAGTGCGGCTTTCGCTATAGCGCCGCGCACATTCGTTTGACAACACTTGTACGGGTTTCGCGGACTGAAAGCGGGTCGTGTTCAAAATGCGGTTCTCGTCTTAGCGCTGCGCGCTTTCTTGTAAACAGGTGCAAAAGCTTCACGTATTGACGGCGGTTATTTTTTCAAAATGTGGTTATCGCTTTAGCGCCGCGCACATTCGCTTCTAAAACTTGCAAGAACTTCAGTGATTCCCATTGTCAGCGTACCACAAACATTGTTTCGGAAGGACTCAGGATTATGAGGGCGCAACCACTACGTTCATTCGCGGCGTTGGCGTCCTAAGAATTAGCGTTTTGGCACGGTTCAAGACCGTCAAGACGAAACAGTCAGGTTGATCCGTGGCGTTGGATTTCCGAAACCAATGTTTCGGCACGCTTCAAGGTTTGCAACGAGGCAGTTCCCTTAGTGGAAATAAACCGTTGCAGGGGCCTGCGAAGAGGGAGCTTGGAGGCATGCTTTATGCCAACATCGTTGATGACTCTTGGGTTTGCACTGGTCTTCCTCCTCGTCCTCCTCCGCCTCACCCCCCCTCCACCTCCTCCTACTACTACTTCTCCTCGTCCACGGATCGCGGCACGGGCGCCCGCATAGGCATCATGCGCGCGCCTTGCACTTTAGGGCGCATTTCTTTTCGTCGCGCGCGACATGGCCAAGCCTCGGGGAAACGACGACATTGGCAATTTCTCTTGCACATGCCGCTGCAGTAATGCGCCTGCCAACTGCGCGCCGTGAAACCAAGGCCCTCGCAATCTGCGCGCGTCAATTCTCTTCCCAGCCGTTTTGCCGCATCGGCCACTCCCTTCGCGGTTGCGCCGCGGTTGCTACGAGCCCCGCGCACTACTCTGGCCCCTGTATTCTTCCGATAGTGTGCCACTTGTTCGCTCGAGTTGTTCGTGCCCGAGAAGAAGAAGAAGAAGAAGGAATAACAAAAAAAAGAGAAATCACAACAAAACAAAACAACAAAAAAAACAACAACAAAAACAACAACAACAAACAACTAACAGGGAGAGACAACAAAAAAAAAAAAAAAAAAAAAAAAAAAAAAAAAAAAACGCGCGTCGCGCAACTTGGCGGTTCCGATTATACCCCCCCCCTTCCCCTCGCGATTCGCCGCCGCGCAATTCGCCGCCCAGACTGCCTCGTCTTTCTCATTTGCGCGCGCCCGACGCAGCCTGCCCCCGCGCCTGTTTCCTCCTCTCTGTCCCGACGCTTCCGCCACTTCTACGAACGGCGCAAAATAAGTCGCATCCGAGCTCCGCGCGCGGATCGCGATTTCCCCCCACTTCGCAGCGCCAGCGCGCGACTTCTGCTGCGCTTTCCGGTCAGCGAATTTCCCGCAATATATCGCCCGGGCACGCGCGCGCTCGCGCGCGTCGCCGACGCCCTCGACGCCCCCGCGCCCGCCGCCCAGCGACGCCCCTGAACCGCCCACCCCTCGCGTTCGTCGCCCACGCCGCGCGCGTCGCGCGCCGCTCCTCGCTCGCGCTCTTCATCTCCGCCGCGCAGCCCTTACAGAAGGCCAGCCTCTCCTCTGGAACCGCATTGCGCGAGAGCCTCCTGCGCCAGTTTCGCCCCCCGCCCCCCCCGCTCGCGCGCTCCTCGGATAACCTCCTGCAGCTTGTTCGCGCCAACCATCTCGCCTGCATCGCGGGCCCCGCCATCGATTGGCCGGAAGATCGACGGGCCCCCCCGCCGTCGCGCCTGCGCTACGGCAGCGCGACTCGACGTCCAACTCACGTCGCATCCTCGCTCAGCATCCGCTCTGACTGCGCCCGCCGTTCGCCCCTGCACGGCGCGCGCCGCGACTGCCCGACACGGCGCGACCACGAGCTGCGCGCGCTTCGCGCCCGACGCCGGCCGCCTCTGACGCTCGCCCAAGGACCGCCGGCGCCCCTTCGATGGAAAAATTGGACGCGGCCCCGGCGCCCGACCTGGCAGGCGCCATTCCTTCGCGCAAAAAAATCTAGAGCAATCATTTTGATCAAATGCAACAACACCCCCTCCTCTGCGTCTCCCATGAGCTCGCCCTCGCGCAACGCCCATCCATGGATCGTCGCTACGAGCTCCCGCTGAAGCTTCTTCCTCGACCGACCCAGGTGGCCCCCTGGCGCCGCGGGCATGTCCTTTGCCGGCGGGCCCAGCGCGCTTGCGCGCGCCTTCTCGCGGCGCCCCAACCGGGGCATTGTGCCCCCCGCCGCGCGCCGTCTCTGCCCCCCCCCGTGGCTGGGGCGGTCTCTTGCTGCGACCCATGGACGCTGCCTCCTCGCCCCGTCGCCCGCCGCGCTGCTCTCTGCTTCCCCGCGTGGCGCCGGGCGCCCTGATTGTTATAAATCGCGGCGGCCCTTTCAATCTTCTCTCTTCTCGAAACCGCGCGTCGTCAGGCGACGCCGCAACGGGCCCCCTCCTCTCTCGCTCGGCCTCGCGCGCCCCGCGCCCCAGCTCAACCCGCTATTTTCGGCGATTGCCCCTGCGTCTCCTCGACGGCGCGCGCCCCCGCGCAGCGCTGCGCCGTTCGCCCGCGACCCCCGCCGCGCCCGTCGGCCTCCTACGCGCGAAGCTTTGCGCGCGCCCCGCTGGCGCGCAACGCCTGCCCTCATCTTGCGCTCCAAGGAACCAATCGTCTTGGCACTCCCCGCTCTTGCACTCTGTCAACTCCGCCATCCCTCGCACTGCCCCTTCGCCTCCAACTCCCCAGAGAACGCGCCGCCCGCGGCCCTCCGCGGCACCCGGCGCGCACTTCCTTGCATTCTTCGAGTGCGACAAGGGCAGCGCGGCGATTGCTGCCCCCCGCGACGGCTGATCCAATGCGTAGCTCTCCGCAGAGCAGCGCGGTCGCGCCCCCGAGCGGCCCGCCCACGCCGCCCTCTCAACTTTCGCGTCGCTCGCCGCTGGCGCGCGCGACTGCAGGCGCGAGTCGAACGCCGCAAAGAAGTTCGCGCACTCCATGCTCACCTCGTCGAGAACCGGCCATTTCCACTTAGACGTTCGCTGCGCGGCCAAGTCATTCCCCGCCCTCTCTCTCGCCCTTGGGCCCCCATCGCCCCTGGCGCTCGGCCCCCTCGTCTCGTTCGCGCCAGTGCCAAACGCGCTGCGGATCGCACACGGTGGCTGACGCGCTCGGGGCCCGCGGCGCTGCCGCCCGAAAATTCACGACGCGCGCCCGCCCCATCTCCTCCTCGAGCAGTCCTTTTCTGGATCTTGTGAATGACGTAGCTCTCCCCAGTCCCTGGGCCGCCGTGGAGCGCCCGCGCAAGGGGCCGCATGTCGGCGCGCATCTCGCCAGCCTCATCCCCTCTCGCAGAAGCCGAAAACTCCCGCGCCAGAGCCCGGCCACCCACCTTCTCCACGATGCTGCGCCGCCTGGCCGTCAGACCGCCATCGGCAAGCGCATTTCCCCACCTCCGCACGCTGGGCGCCGCTGCCATCTTTCCCACCGCCACCTCCAGGGCGCCCTCCGCTCACCCTGCGCCGAGCGCCGAGTACTTCTTGGGCTCTGGACGCCGCGGCCGAAGCCTGCGCCCAATTCGCTGCGGCGTCGCCCCGCAACAACGCCCCGCCCCCTGCGCGCCCCTTTCGCCCCCCGCTCTTCCGGCTCATGTCCTCGCCCCGCGCGGCGCCCCCCCCCTGCCGTCGCCCCCGCGGCCCCTCTCTCGCTCGCCCTCCGAGACTGCAATCATTCGCTCGCCCCCCCCCCCCCCGGGCGCCACCACAACGCGCGTCTGCCGCCCCGCGGCCGCGCCCGCACTTCCCAGGCCCACCTCTTCGTCGCCGCGCAGCTCGCCCTCGCGCTCGGCGGGGTCTTCATCGGCGACTGGTCGCAGATGCACGACCCCCGCGAAATTATGGGCGCGCCTCTTCGTCTCCTCACACGGCGCGCCCCCCATTCCGCCGACGCTTCGCCTACGACCCAAGCGCCCCGCGAAATTTTTGCCGGCGCGGCGCCCCGCAATCGACGGCGCCGCGCGGCGCGTCTGCAGGAACCCGTTCCCATCCACTCCCCCCGCCCCGCCGGCCGCGGCGCCCCGCGAACGCTCGGGGCCCTCGGGCGCCCGTTCCGCGCGAGCGCCCTCGCGCGCGCCTCAAATATTCCACCTGCGGAACATCCGGAAATTGAACCCGCAAACAACTCCCACCTCCCGTGGCCGCGCAATCCACTCCAGCCCCCCACTGCGCCCGCACTCCGCCCCGCATTCGCCGAATTCCACTTTCTCGCAGTCTGCCTCGGCAACCTTTTGGACCCCAGACGGCGTCAACATCGCCGGGTGCTCGTCGCCGGCGGCGGCCGACATCTCCGCGCCGCCGCGCGCAAACGCCGCCAGTTCCACGTGCCAGCGTCGCAAGAACTCGCGCGGCCACAAACGCTAGGCGCTCCTGGCTCGCCCGCGGGGCGCGCGACGCACAAGTGCGCGAGACTCTTCGACGCGATTCTCACGCTCTGGACTGCCCGTCCAGGGGCGCGCGTTCTCCGTCCGCGCGCGACCGCTCGGCCACGAGGGCCGCTTCTGCCCTCCAAGATCATGGCTGTCTTCTCGGTCTCGACGTCCCCGGCGGCGGTCGGGTCTCCCGGGTCTCCGCACTCGCGCAGGCCACCGCCCCGGCACCTCCAGGCGCCCCCCCTGGCACTTGCACCCCTTGCTGCATGTCCGCCATCTCTTTGCCCACCATCTCTTGATTCCCCCTGGCGCAGACACGGCACTGATCGATATCGTTGGGTTCGGTGGCTTCTTCGTCACGCAAGTCTTCGATGCGAGACTGAATGCTCATGAGCGTCTCCTCGGCCCCCTCTAACTTGACCTGGAGTTATGCCTGCTGCTGACGGAGTGGCCTCGTCGACTGCCCTTGTACGTAGCAATCCTCCTGTCGCGAGAGCCCGCCGACGCAAATGTTTTGACCATTCTCGCCGCGAGGGCCAAGGTGCCGAGATTGTCAAACTGCTGCCTGACTGTCAAACGAAACTGATGCTGCGCCGCGCTGGTCTCTGGTGGTGCTCGATAGCACTGTTCTGCAGAGGTCTCTCCTTAGTCATGGGGGGGGCAAACGCTGAATGTACTGTCTCACATCTCTGTCCGAAAATCGGGAGCAGATGGGCGGACGAGCATCCCTTCCTGCCCCCTTGCGGGCATGATTGACAGAGCCTATGCCTAAACCCCTTTCTTTCGCGGACAATGCGATGCCTGGATGATACCACTGACCCCAGAAACACTGCGCGTGATGCTTGACATATCGCCCATATCTCGTGCAATCCCATGTCGGAATCCATCCTCTCATCGTCAGATCCCTCACAGTCAGGCTTCTGCCACGGACCTGCTGTGCCGAACGATGCGGGGCGAGCTCTACACATGCCCTACGGAGTATCACGAGGGCCCTCGCCTGGGAGCGCTGCCCCCGAGAACTGCGATGCGCAGCCTTCTCCTCGGAGCGCGCCGTGGCCAGGGCACAGAGAGGCAACTATTGCGGGCAGGAGGCGCGACACGCTCTGGCGTGCGCGACGGGATTATGCCAAGCAGAATCCCTGCTCCTCCTCCGCCTCCGCCTCCGCCTCCGCCTCCGCCACCGCCACCGCCTCCGCCTCCGCCTCCACCGAAGCCTCCTCCCCCTCCCCCTCTTCCTCCTCCGCCTCCGCCTTCGCCTCAGACTCCGCCTCCGCCTCTGCCTCCCCCAACGCCTCCGCCTTTTCTTCCTCCTCCTCCTCCTCCTCCTTTTCCCCCTCCTCCTCCTCCTCCTCCTACTCCTACTCCGCCGACGCCTCCTCCTCCTCCTCCTCCTCCTTTTCCTCCTTCTCCTTCCCCCCCATCACCCTCTCCTCCTCCTCCTGCTCTCTCCTCCTCCTCCTCCTCCTCCTCCTCCTCCTCCTCCTCCTCCTCCTCCTCCTCCTCCTCCTCCTCCTCTCTCCTCCTCCTTCCCCCCCCTATCAACCCTCTTCCTCCTCCTCCTCCTCCTACTCCTCCTCCTCCTCCTTTTTCCTCCTCCTCATCCTCCTCCTCCTCCTGTTCCTCCTCCTCCTCCTTCTCCTCTCCTGTCCTCTCCTGTCCTCTCCTGACCTCTCCTGTCCTCTCCTGTCCTCTCCTGTCCTCTCCTGTTATCTCCTGTCCTCTCCTCTCCTCTCTTGTCCTCTCCGTTCCTCTCCTGTCCTCTCCTGTCCTCTCCTCTCCTCACCCACCTCTCCTCTCGTCTCCTCTCTTTTCCTCTCCTGTCCTCTCTTCTCTTGTCGTCTCCTCTCCTCTCCTCTCCTCTTCTCCTCCCGTTCCTCCTCCTCCACTTCCTCCTCCGCTTCTTCCTTCCTTCCGTCCGTCGTTCCTTCCTTCATTCCTTCATGCATTCCGTTCGCCCTTCCTTCCGTCCTTCCTGCATTATGCCCTTACTTCCGTCCTGCATTCCTTCCTTCCGTCCTTCCTCCCTCCCTCCTCCCTGGTGAGCTCGGCGCGGTGGATCGGGGCGGGGGCTCGCGTGGACTTTGAATGCGCTGTCGCCCATGCTGACCTCGGTCTCCTGGCGGGTTTCGTGCTCGTGTTCGTATCCCGCTCCTGAGGTCCTCCTCCATACAGGCCTCGTCGACGACCTGCTTCGCATCATCAGGCGTCGTCGTCGCCCTCTCCTTCCCCATCCTCATCCACGTCCCTCCCCCTCCACCTCCTCCTCCTCCTCCTCTTCCTCCTCCTCCTCCTCCTCCTCCTCCTCCTCCTCCTCCTCCTCCTCCTCCTCCTCCTCCTCCTCCTCCCCTGCCTCCTCCTCATACCCACTCTTCCTCCTCCTCCTCCACATCCGTCTCCTCCCTATCATCATCGTCATCAGCATCACCAGCATCATCATCATCATCATCATCATCATCATCATCATCATCATCATCATCATCATCATCATCATCATCATCATCATCATCGTCATCATCATCATCAGCATCATCATCATCAGCAACAGCATCATCAGCATCATCATCATCAGAATCATCAACCTCATCATCATCAGCATCATCATCCTCAGCAGCATCAGCATCAGCATCGTTATCATCAGCAGTAACATCATCATCATCAGCATTATCAACGTCATCATCATCATCATCATCACCACCACGATTATCATCACCAGTCGTAGCATCATCATAACCATCATCATCAACATCATCATCATACTCGTCATCACCACCAGTATCATCATCAGCAGCATCATCATCATGACCAGCATCACCGGAATCAGCATCCTCATCAGCAACAGCCGCATCCTCATCATCAGCAGCATCAGCATAATCACCATTATAATCATACTTAACATAATAATCATCATCCTCCTCCTCATCATCATCATCATCGGCATCATCATCATCATCATCATCATCATCATCATCAGCATCATCATCATCATCGACATCGTCATCATCATCAACAGCATCAATAACATCACCATAATCAATATCATCACCACCACCTTCATAGCAACCATCGTCATCATCATCAACTGCAGCAGCATCCTCATCATCATCACCATCAGCATCACCATTATCATCATCATCATTATCATCATCGTCATCGTCATCATCATCGTCATCATCACCATTGTCACCACAACCACCACCATGACCAGCACCAGCATCAGCATCATCAGCAGCAGCAGCGGCATCATCATGACCATCATCATCACCACCATCATCATCACCACCATGATCAACATCAGCATCAGCATCAGCATCAGCATCAGCATTAGCATCATCAGCATCATCAGAATTATCATCATCGTATCACAATCCCATCATCCTAGTATCATCATCGTCAGCAGCAGCATTATCATCATCATCATCATCATCATCATCATCATCATCAGCATCAGCATCATCACTGTCATCATCATCGCCATCGTCGTCGTCATCGTCATCGCCATCGCCATCGCCATTGCCATCGTCGTCGCCGTCGTCATCGGCATCGTCGCCGTCACCGTCATCGCCACCACAACCACAACCATCACCAGCACCATCATCATCACCATCATCACCATCAGCAGCAGCAGCATCATCATCACCATCATCATCACCATCATCAGCATGACCATCAACATCATCAACAGCATCATCATCATAACCAGCATCATTAGTATCATCATCGTCATCATCATCATCAGCAGCAGCATCAGCATCAGCATCAGCATCATCGTCATCGTCATCGGCATCCTCATCGTCGTCATCATCAGCAGCAGCATCATCATTGACATCAACATCAGGATGATAATCATCACCATCATCAGCAACTATAGCATCATCGACATCATTAGCATCAGCATCCTCATCACTATCATCGTCATCAGCATCAGCCTCATCATCACCAGCATCGTCAGCATCACCATCATCAGCAGCCTCATCATCATCATCAGCATCATCAGTATCATCATCACCATCATCATCATCATAATCATCATCATAGTCACCACAACCACCACCATCACCAGCACCAGCATCATCATGAGCAGCATCAGCATCGTCCTCATCATCATCATCATCATCATCATCATCATCATCATCATCACCACAATTATCCTCATCGTCATCAGCAGCATCAGCACCAGCATCAGCATCAGCATAATCAGCACCATCCGAATGATCATCATATCATCGCCATCCCATTATCATAGCCATCCCATCATTATAGCAGCAGCATCAGCATCACCGTCATCGTCATAGTCTTCGTCATCTTCGTCATCATCATCATCATCACCATCATCATCATCATCATCATCATACTCATACTCATACTCATCCTCATCTGCCTCTTCCTCCTCCTCATCCTCCTCTTTCTCCTCCGCCTCCTCCTCATCGCCATCGCCATCGCCATCGTCATCGCCATCGTCATCGTCATCGTCATCGCCATCGGCATCGCCATCGCCATCGATCGCAATCGCCATCGCCATTATTTCGTCACGTCACATCAGCAGGAACAACATCGTCATCACAATTGCTACGCTCCTGCTCATCGAACTCTCTCTCTCTCTCTCTCTTCCCGCCTCGTCCGCCTCGTCCACAGCTTCCTGTAGCCCCGCCGCGTCATCCACGTCACTCTCGTCCTCATCCTCCTCCTCGTCATAATACTCGTCGCATCCACCCCCTCCCCCTCCTCCTCCTCTTCCTCCTCCTCCTCTCTCCCTCCTCACCCTTCTCCTCCTCCTCCTCCTCTCCTCCTCCTCCTCCTCCTCCTCCTCCTCCCCCCCTCCTCCTCCTCCTCCTCCTCCTCCTCCTCCTCCCCTCAGGAGGGAGAGCACGAGGGGGAGGACCACGTTGGGGGCTGCTCTCCTGCTCTGTCATTAGTGATGCGCACTCGCTGCCTGGAGTCCGCGCGCCAAGACCGCTGCACGGTTTCAGTTCGCGCCGCCCGTCAACGCGCATGCCTGATTTGGTTCTCGGCCATTGACAGCATCAGGCCTCCTCCTCCTCCTCCTCCTCCTCCTCCTCCTCCTCCTCCTCCTCCTCCTCCTCCTCCTCCTCCTCCTCCTCCTCCCCATCCCCGTACATCAATCTGAATGCCATGCGTGGCTTCCTCAGACGCGAGTGTGCCGACCGGCGCATCTTCTACCGACACGTCACCTCCACATGCTGCACTGCGCACTTTTCCGTAATGGTTCTGGACAAGTTGATCGGCCTTCTGCGCTCGGACCTTCTACGATCGTGTGCACTCCTGTTCGGCAACCTCGAAGCGCATAGATATTCGAACCTTGCCAACTTCCGACAAGCAATCGCATATTGACAGTTTCTTGCACGAAGCGCAGCCCCAGTAACATGTCTCACGTATCAGCTGGCACTGTGTTCAAAACGCACTGCAACTAAAAGCGTGAAGCTAAATCCTAGTGGAGTAGGGCGGAGGGGGAGGAGGAGGAGGAGGAGGAGGAGGAGGAGGAGGAGGCGAAGGAGTAGGAGGAGACAGAGGAAGGAGAGCGGAGAAGGAACACGTGCAAAACATTGGCACATAGGGAGTGCGGCCCTGGTTTCGCCACAGCAGAATCATGTTCCTCCGCCTCTGCGCTGGACTCAAGCTGGCGGGCGTCGCTGCTGAGATGCCGCCGATGCTCAATACATACTACTGTTGGGTTGCAAGGGAGGCGTATGCACACGGGAGTGCACACGAAAACGGCGGATCGTTCCTGGATGCCGAATTCAGCTCTGCAACCAGTACGGTGATGCATCAGTTGGGCCACGCTGCAACGCAGCGCGAGCCACAAAAGGGGGCGGCGCCCACTCCACTCGGTCACTCAATAAGGCGGGTGACGATACCAGGTCCCGAGCGTAACACTTCTTCAAGAGGCAGGAGAGGACCAGGACGGCCAGGAGGGAGAGGCGGAGGAAGGGAGGGGCGAAGGGCGAAGGAGGGGCAGAAGGAGGCCTAGAGAGGCAGAGAGGGGGCCGAGGAGGGGGAGCAGAGGATGAGCAGGAACAGGAAGTGCAGGAGGAGAAGAAGGAGCACGAGGAGCACGATGAGAAGCAGGAGCAGGAAGGGCAGGATGAGGAACACGGGGAGGAGTAGAGAGAGGAAAAGGTGAGGAGCGCTGCGAGGCGAGGAGCAGCCGCAGGGGGGACGGGGGACGGGAGGACTGCGAGCGCGCAATGACGCAGGTGAGGAGCGGAATGACGAGGACGAACGCGAGGCGCGCGAGGAGCCGGGGCGAGGACGTCGAGGGGGTCCTCGTGGCTCGTGAGAATCAGCGAGGCGCCCTGCTCCTTCACGCGCTTGCCCTGCTCCGCGAGCAGGTCGACGCCGCCGGGGTAGCCTCCACGCCCCCCCCCCCCAAGGAGGACGCCGAGCACACGCCCGCGCCGACCCTGGCCAGGCTCAGCCGGCGCCCCGGGACTTGAGTAGGGACCGACCGTCCCGGCATTCCTACAGCCCTACCGCGGGATGTTCTTAGAACCCAAAAAAACTCTAACAACCAAAGCAATGTTCTCAGAACATCAACCCAATGTGTGAAGACAAGACAGCCCCGGCCAGAAAGGTTCTCAAAACGTTTCGCGCAAGCCACAAAAGGTTTTTAGAACATTGTTTGGTGGGGCCATAGGCGAGCCAGGACGCTTCGCCACTGCTTGAAAAAGAGGGCCCAAAAGTCGGCCCGGCCAGGACCGGTGCAGGCGCCCAGTGGGCGCCCTCCAGCGCCGCCGCCACCCGCGGGCCAGGCGCGCGCCCCCTTCCCCCAAAGCCCTTCCACGCCAACGCCTGGAACTGCTCGGGCGCATTTTCAGGGCCCCACGCTCGCCCGCCGTAACATATATATATATATACACACACAAATATACATATATACATACATACATACATACATACAGACATACATACATACGCACATACATATACATATACATATGCATATACATATGCATATACATATACATATACATATACATATACATATACATATACATATACACATACATATACATATACGTATACATGTACATATACATATACATATACATATATATATATATATATATACATATACATATGCATATACATATACATATACATATACATATACATATAAATATACATATACATATACATATACACATACATATACATATACATATACATATACATATACATATACATATACATATACATATACATATACATATACATATACATATACATATACATACACAAATATATACATATACATATACATATACATATACATATACATATACATATACACATACACATACACATACACATACACATACACATACATATACATATACATATACATATACATATACATATACATACATACATACAGACATACAGACATACAGACATACAGACATACAGACATACAGACACACACATTTATATACACAAAAGAACCGTTTGCGGACTGGTTTTCGAAGATCCGTGAGGCCGTCCGCGACGCCTTTGGAACTGAATACAAAAAGACGTTTTCAGAGAACTCTCGGTGGGATGAGGCGGGGGGGATCTTCGGCAAAACGCGCGGGAAACAACCCTGGGGAGGTCCTGGGGAAAATATCCACAGAAATTGTCGTGGTTCTGGTTTTCTGGTTATCCGAAATTTTTGCCGGTTCTGAGCTGAAAAAAAAGTGTTCGCGGTTATGATGCGGGGGGGGGGGGGGCAAAAAAAAAACAAACATACAAAAAAAACTTGTCAAGTCTTTGGGGGGGAAAACCTTCCCTGGGATTGTGCTGCGTGTGCTTGCTTGTTTTAGTTAAGGCGTTTTGGTTCTGAGCTAAAATACCCCCCAAGGAATGGGGTTGCTGCATGGAAAAGCTAGAAACACAATGTTGTGTTGGTTCTCGAGCTGAAAAACCACGCAAAACATGTTTTTGTTTGCGCAATGAAAACCACCATGCGTCTTTGGTTTTACCATGGAAAGCCAATCCAAAAAAACAAAAAAAATGGGTTGTGTTTTGGTTTTTGACATGAAAACCAAAAAACCGAAGGGGAACAAACAAAAAAAACTCCCTGGCGAAATATTCCCAGGACCTACCTAAGGATTGGTGTTTGGTTGTTCGATGTTCCTTTGGTTTTTGCTGCTGTTTTTTATTATAAAAAAAGGTCCGGTCGGTTCAGAGTCGAGGGTAGTTATTTCGGTTGGCCCATTGCGTCAGGCCCCAGAGAGCATTCACTCCCCCCCCCCCCACGCACACAAACCTTTCGAGAGATCATCACATACGCATTTTCCGTAAGCTATTTTCTCAAGCTGAAAGCTTCGCGCGGCCAGAAACTCCCGATCATGGCCAGCGATCACAACTCCCGCGCCACCAACTGTGCTCGATTCTATTCCGTTGCAAAGGACCATGGCATTACGTTTGAGGAGGCAACCGTGCGGACGAAGGACAAGAAGCGCGGCCCGCTCTTGTCCCAGCCCATCGTCAAGAACCTCATGCCTGAGGACGTCGGGCCCATCCAGACGTAGCTGGGCAACCTTCCGATGATCCCCGCTGAAGGTTCGACCAAGCTCGCTCAGCAGGTGGACTTCGCGCACCCCTACGAGAGCCCGCGCCCGTACGTCGAAGAGGGCCCGCCTTAGCAAAGGATGACAAAGATGAAGGAGCTAGAGAGGATTGCCATGTCCAACTGCTACGAGAACTACCCTGACAATCTGACGCCTGCCAACAAGAGCGACCTGCCCTACACGATGCAAGCGTTCATCGCGAAGGATCCTGACAACACGCGCAGCCTGCTCAAGCTACTCACGATGGAAAGGGACAATAAGATCAAGTACAGCGATGCATTTCAGATATGTCACGGGTCGATGTACCAGAGGGACCACGGAAAGCACTTCAGGGATGGATCCAGAGCGCTGCAATATCAACTTGAACGGCTGCCAGGCCTCCAGGTGAGATACTATGCGGTTGTGGACTCGAGCGCTCCGAAGCGGGCCACGGATGTGGACTCGAAACGCAAGGGCTTCGACTACATCAAGGAGCACGGGCCGAAGAGCAACATGGACAACGCGGCCCTGGAGTTCGCAGAGATGGCCTGCGATGACCCCGAGAACCCGATCTGCGGGTGGCCGAAGACACTCGTGGAACGTTCGTGCCTCAACCACGGGAAGTCCGCGGCTGCCGCCCGCAAGCAGTCGTTCAACCACCTCACGCTCTGGGACATCAGGGGGTGGTTCTTGATGTGCGTACTGGCGCCGATCTTGGGCTCTTGGCGGACGAAGTCTTTCATTTTCCTTGGCGAATCTGGCTTCGGGAGAAGCGGCGTCGGCGTCGTCACCGTCGTCGTCGGCGTCAGCGTCGGCGTCGGCGTCGGCGGCGGCGACGGACTGTGCCGCGGCGTCGTCGTCGCCGTCGGCGACGGCGGCTTCGGCATCCGTCGGCATCGTCGTCGTCGTCGTCGTCTGCGTTTGAGTCGGTGTCGGCGTCGGCGTCGGCGTTGGCGTCGACTTCGTCGTCGGCGTCGGCGTCGGCGTCGGCGGCGTCGACGTCGGCGTCGTTGGCGTCGGCGTCGGCGTCGTCGTCGTCGGCGTCAGCGTCGGCGTCGTCATCGACGTCGGCGTCGGCGTCGGTATCGGCGTTGGCGTCGGCGTCGGCGTCGGCGTCAGCCTCGGTGTCGTCGTCATCGGCGTCGGCGGCGGCGACGACGGCGTCGGCATCGTCGTCGGCGTCGGCGTCGGCGGCGGCGACAGACTGTGCGGCGGCGTCGTCGTCGTCGCCGGCGGCGTCGGCGACGTCGGCGTCCGTAGGCGTCGTCGTCTTCGTCTGCGTCTGCGTCGGCGTCGGCGTCGGCGTCAGCGTCGGCGTCCGTCCCCTTGGGGGAGCCGTTTAGCACGACGAGCATGGACTGGCGCTTCGTGCTCTCGCCGACGTCCTGGCGGCAAGCCGCCCCGCCCCACTCTCCGCCTCTTCTCCCGCTAATGGAAAATGACTCTCTCTCCGCTTGTCCCACCTCCCTCCCCCTCCTCCTAATCCTCCTCCTCCTCCTCCTCCTGTTTCTCCTCCTCCTCCTCTTCCCTCTCCCTCTCCCTCTCCCTCCCCATTTCCATCTCCCTCCCCCTCTTTCTCTTCCTCTCCCTCTCCCTCCTCCTCATCCTCCTCCTCGTCCTCCTCCTTCTCACCTTCCTCCTCCTCCTCCTCCTCCTCCCTCCCTCCCTCCC